TAGGAAGACGGGAATCGCCGGTTGGGTTGGCTTTACCAACCAAAAGCCAAGAAAGGCATGGGAGTCTTTGGGCATTGCTTGGGCTAAGTCAAGCTTGGGCCGAGTGAAGTAAAGACTGGCTGCCTAGAAACTAAACAAGAAACATGAAAACTTCCCTGAACTACTACTGGCTTAAGAATAGGATTGAGAACCCTCAAGTTAGCAGCACTACTGATTGCTGATTATTTTTGGGGCCTTTGGAATTTCAAGCCATTTATCAAACATAGATTCTTTGATACAAACGACAACACATCTCCATTTGGTGTAGTCCAATGAAAGCAAAGCTGATTGATTAGTTTATGTAACTACCTTTCTAGGACCCTGAAAATCCCCTGAACAACAGAAATCTACACGACTAGTAGAGATTAGAGCATTGTGCTATGACTTAAACTTCTTCCTCTCTATACTACCGAAAGTCCCCAGTTTTTCTCATTTCAACATCCCTTTCCTCCAAATCGACATTCTCATCCAACTTATCACATTCTAACCTTGCAAAGTGATGATAAATATTTTCTTACCAGACACTTAAAACTCTAGAAATGGTGAGGAATTTTCCTGTACCATTCAAATTTATTTCTAGCCAAAATCGATATTAATTGTATCTAAAATGTCTAAAGGACACCTCTCTGGAATTACATTTACTCATTTTTGCCCCAGTTCTCTTCAATCAATAAAGCAACCCAAATCTGTAGAAATTGAATAACTCAAATCTTCAATCAGTCACCTTAATAATATCTCCCCGTGCACCTTCGTCCACCTCAAGTAAGGAGATTTTCTATTTGATCTTGATCTTGATCTTGCGAGCCAGATATCTATACGTCTTCATCTTATCTTTGTCTTGAATCCTTTATTCATTCTTTGCAACCTCACACGCACACACAACCACACACTAACACCTGAGAGAGAGAGAGGGGGGGAGAGAGGAGACAACTCACAGTCAAGATTGGAGTCCTAGGATTTTTGAGATGAGAAAAACACAATAAGACTTTACCTTGAGGAGGGAGGTGAACCCAGTAGAGATAGTGGCGCTTTGCTTTTCACTCCATTACTCTCTATTTCTCTCTGCTGGTAAAGAGCCTCTCTATGGTCCATTATGTTTTTGCTTCTCTTTCTCTTTCTCTCTACTTCATCAATACGTTTTTTATCTTCTCTCTGTAATCTAAAGACACTTTTTTTTTTCTTTAAATACTCACTTTGTCTATGTAAAAGACTCTCTTGCTTGCCATGAATTCATCCACACACAATGTGTCCTTACATAAAGAGCATCTCAAATGTAATCACAGATCCAATTTATTTGTCCAAAAAGGCCACCCTTCCTCTCTCTATCTCCCTTCTTCTCTCTCTCACTCTACACATACACAGAGTCACACTCACAAATCTAAAAAATCATCTATCTCTTTTCTTTTCTTTTTTAATTTACTGGATTGCCACCTCTCTACCCTTTTGAAGAACCCTCTCAACCGAAGTACATAAAAAGATAGACTAGCCATGGCGATTGTACCATTGAATCCTAGCCTCAACATTGTTGAGTCGACTGTCCTCTTACCACAGGCATACACATAAAGACCATGCTTATTACCTCTTTTTAGGCTACTTATAGCTTTTAATTCTAAAGAAGTTATGTTGAAATGTTTGCTACAGCTTATCTAACTTGATGAAAGCTAAAAAAGCCGCCTTTAGAGAGTTGGTCAGGAGATGCTTTACAAAAACTGCTTTTAGGAAGCTATTTTTTTTGGGAAGTTAAGTGTTAACAAACATGGTCAAAGTGTGCTCCCACATTTAGAGCATACAAAATCTAATCTCAGCTCATGTCTATTAAAAAACCAGAGATGTGTGTATATATATATATGTTGTGTGTGTGTGTGTGTGTGTGTGTGTTTGAATTAAATCGAAAAATGATCGGTATGTTTACTTTGCTGTTGCTAATTTGTCCAATTGCCACCACCCTATCCCATTACAGAACCCTCTCAACCAAAGTAAATAAAGAGATGCACTCCTTGGGGGCGAAGGCATCTCCAGACGTAAGCCTCCATATTATGTTGATCAGCCTCTGTTTTCTCCACAAACAGATTTGCTTACTTCGTTGATGACTAAGCTTTGATGCTATAGTTGCGGAGACGATATGCACCTAATAAAGATAGGCAGATGGATATATTGTGAGTTTTTTGGAATCTAACGTTGGATTTTAAAGTGAGGATGTGGGGTTGTCCAGTAGCTTACTTCAAGGGCAAATAATAAGGGCTAAGAGAGTGTAATTTGATTAATGATGTGCCTAACAATTAGAACAAGAATGTGAAGCAGATATCCTAGTTGCCTAAAAATAGGGATTGGTCAAAGAGCTGGAATGATGCCTTGGTGGATTCTTTAACCATAGACCGTAGATTTGTCGTTTCGATATTTTATTTTTTAGGTCCTCTGACAGGAACTTTTACAACTATAGCAATATGTGCAGCCTAATATAATTATCATCCTCTCCATTATCATTTTTCTTGTTATGGTGGTTATTAATGCTATTGTTCTTGACTTCTTGTTGTTATTATTGTTGTTGTTATTGTTATTCTTCATGTTTGTTTGAAGACTAGTTTCTTCATGAGTAGCATGTGTTTGTTTTGTAGGAGCATTTAACCTGATTGGATGTATAACATTTGACACATATAACATATTCATCCTCACAGTTATATTTTTTGTCCTAACTCTCTCTCTGGTTCTTTTTCCAGTGATGCCAATTGTTCGAAGGAGGGTTAAAGGACCTATGTGGTTGCATTTCCTCATTGGTGTAAGTGTTCTTGTCCTTATTTTGTTTGATTCTTTTTCTTTGTAAGACCTCGGTTATTTGATATGTGACTTTGTATTTGTGCCTTTCTCAATATCACTTGTAGTCCTATCAGACTTAAACATGCTATAAAGTGGGAGGGCGAAAGTATTTGGACTTTGTAAAGATCTTCTATTGCCATGTTTAGTGTTATTTGATGTGCAAGGCGCACTAAGGAGCCAAGGTCCCTTAGGGCATAGGAGTGAGGCACAAGGTGAGGCATAGGCCTCATCGAAGTAAGGCGCAGGTTATAGATAACATGCAAATGATTTTTCAGAATATGGTGTAACATCAAAAAACACAAACTATAAGCAAATATTCAAAAAATGCAAACATCATAAAATATCCAAGTTCTCAAATATTCAAAATAGAGGCTGATTCTTCTTAAGTTTGTGCCTTTGATACCTTAGGAATTATCTGTCCCCTTTTGCCTACTTCACGGATTCTCTTGTCGGGTTGAATTCAAATTCCCATATACTATGAACTTGATTGATTAGGGATTTATATTTCTTAAATCGTCTGAAATAGGCAAGCTCTATGGGACTAGAATTAAAGCCGACTACAATTAGTTTCTTTTGTGCCTTAGGTTATGAGGACCTTCTAGGGAAATGGTTGTATAATGTGGAAGTAAGGCTTGTACGCTTTGCGGATGCTAGAGGGTTGGATCTTGAGTCACACAATTCGTCATACACCACTCACACTCCATTGCTCTACGTGTAAATTCATGAATTGGGAGCGAATTCACTGTAAATTCGTACATTTAATTAGTTGATTTCGCGAACTCAACTAATTAAACTCGTTAGTTTCTATGAACTTCAATAAAAAAAAGAATTTTACTTTACATAAGGCCCAAGCTAAGGCTATAAACTCCCGGCTCAGTCCCAATCAAACAAAATATTTTATTGCCTCCAGCTGTACTCATATGGTGCTTTACAGCTAATGGCTGCACCTAGGCTCATTGTAAATTCAACTGAGGAGCTAAACACCTTATATAGGCCTTTGTGGTTGTGGATTTCTCAACACTTGTTGATGTGGAACAAGGCATTGAAATGCCTTGAGACTTTTTGTTTGATTATTCACTTTATTATTTTTATGCGGGATTCAAAATCCAAATCAATAGTTAAAAAAAATTAATAATTTATCATATAGTTGTATATACAATTTAATTTTTAAAGTGTATTTTTAATAATTTTTATATATGTAAACATGTATGTATGTATATAGTATAATGCTTTCAAGGCGCTCCAGCTCTAAGAATTTTTTTAAAAAATTCACTTTTGTGTTCCCGCTCTCGCCCTGCACCTGCTCTATGTGATCTAGGTTGGATCTTGCTTGATTTGAAGTAGTTTGCTTCCAGGAAATTTAAGAAAAACGTCACTAGAAATTGTGTAGAGTAAGCTTTTAAGGTTTTAGGTATTATCTTTAAGCCTATTTTTACATTGGCCAAGGCATCCTTTAGGTAAACTTTCCTCCTCTTTATGTTGGTCAAATTTATGTCTCAAGTTGTGGAAAACATGACTTTAGTGGTAGCCTTAGGTCGCAAGAATGCCTTTCTGTGAAAGTAATACAACATCCTTGCTTAATGGAGCCCTGCGAAATGTTCTTATCTTTATAATTTGATAACTACCAGTGCAGAGCATTGTTATGTAGACTAGGGAATACAACACCTTTAAAAACTCCTGCATACAGCAGGGTCTTGGAGAAGTGAGTGGTAGGCAGCCTTCCCTCCAGTTTGAAGTGATTGATTTTCGGACTCGAACCTATGACATATTGCCTTGAAACCAGTCCACTTGTGTAGAACCTCATATGGTTCCCCATTGCTTCCTTCTTTTCAATCGCGCTTTCAGACAGGTTTGTGAAAGCCTCCTTTGAGTTACCATGCCAGAAAATGTACATACCTATTTATTACAATTCTAATCCCCTCTCTCTCTGTCTCCATGATGTGATTCTCCTATCACGTGTATCGGTTTTTTCTCTTTCAATATGCATCATCTAACATACTAAGCTTAATTATAATTTAATGTGATTGTCATAATATGTCAATTTTGACATATTGGGGTGCTGTGACAAACTTGAATACCAAGTAGTGATAGTTGTCTTCACAAAAAAAGTGGTAGATTTTGATTAGGGCACTTATGTATAGTTGGAAATGAACGAATATGAGTTGGAAGATATTGTCATAAAAAAGGTGAACCAGAAACAAAAAAATTAGCATAGGGTGAGTGGTGGTCATTTAGTCTATTCCAGAGTGCCATCATTAGTTTTTCCCAATTTCATCTGACATTCAGTCCGAAGAACAAGTTTGCCTCCAAAAGAATTTAAGAATTGTTTGTTGGTTGAAATTGGCTTCCCTTCTTATCCCTCAGGTGTCTGTATGTTAATTGGTTATATAGTGCTAGGTCGAGATCTTGTGATATGTGCTTTGGTATGACTCATTCTTTGACATGCTATGCTGTTGAAGTTTGAAGAAGCTTTTAAAGTACATAGAGGTGTCCTTATTTGTGTTCACTTTGTTGTTGTTACTAGTGGTGATGGTGGTGTCCCTTTCTGACATATTTTTATGGATGCAGGCTCCACCTGTGATAGTTTTCTCTTCAGCTTGTGCAGGGTTGGCAGGTTAGACTTTTCTCAATAGAGTAGCTATATTTGCTGTATACTTTTACTTATGTGTACTCTCTAGTTACAGTACTCCCTTTTTGCTCTCCTTGCCCAATCAATCATTCAATATTGTTGGGGAAACTAAGCATAGTGAGTTCTGTGGAACTATGATCCTAATGGATGCCTTTACACTAAAGCCATTATGCCCCTTTTTAGCTCATTCTATTAATATCTTTATTGAATAACAAAATTGCAATAGATATCCCAGCTTCCCCTCCCCTCACCTTCCCCATGCCATAAAAAGAGAACTCTTCCAGAGAAATTGTAGAAAGAGTGGGTTGTTATAGGAGTAGTTTTCGAATAGTTAAATTCATTTCCCTGCATAGAATCTCTGTGCCAGATATCCTTCCTTGTTTCTAGAATGCTGTTTAGAAGGATGTGACTACAAGTTAATGTTCAGGCCAAAATTATTCATGAGAAATTTTGTGTGTTTCGAGCCATACAGATAATAAACACACTTCTTTCTTGTAGAAGTTTTACAAATTTTTTGTGACAAGAACACATTCTTTAGCATGTTCCTCAATGTCAAAGAAATGTCTTCTTCATACACGTCCTAAGAAATGAAGTGAACGAGATACATGCGTTTTTTTGGACGCATAATTTGCACTGAAAGACATGTTGATGATCATAATCTTCCGAGGCTGCCATGTCACACTTCGGTTATCACTTCACACTCTAGTTGTTTCGAAGTGTACTAGGTACCAATAAATCCTGCAGTATTTTGTGACAATGGCAATAATCTCTAATTAACGTTATTTTTTGAACATTTCTCTCCAAAGGTAAGAATCATATTCCAGAGGATTTTTACATATTTTCTTTTTTGTGCAAGCTGTGCAACCCTGGGATTTTTTTTTTCTTGTGAAAAAGTTAAAAGAGTTAATTTAACAAGAGTAATGCAACTAATCAATAAATTTAAGGCACCCATGATTATTTCTGACTATGTTTGACTGAAACAACCTATAAATTGTATGGAATATGTTTATTCAATTTTCTTGTCTTGACTCTCTTAATCAATATTAATTATGTTTATAATCGGTATTAATTAGTTATTTTTGTGAAACCAACTTTGTTCTATTGTTGATGGTTAGTATTTCTTAATGGTTATAAATTATGGAAATATTCTCTAGCTGCATTAATTATTAAAATTGAAAAATGTTACATGTATCTCATGCAATGCACTAAGTTATGAACCTTAATCTATTAGCAAGAGATCAAGCATTCTTCTAACCTAGATTAGATATAATTGGTCTTTGTGAAAGAGTCCATCAACCTCAGAAATATGGATTCGTGGTGCATACCGTGCATATATGTGTGCTCGGTAGCTTTGTGTTGTTTGGACAAACCACCAAATGCCAATTGCAAGTTGTAGGAGGGTGGTGATATTAAGGTATATGAGGATGGGTGGGAACTTCTGGTCAATTCCATCTAACTTTGTAGTTGGCCATTTGCTGCCCTTCCATTCTGTGTGGGATCAAGCGTTGGAATAAGCTGCAGTGGAAAGATGATTTGTCTAATGTGTCTTTTGTGATTTTTGCATGCTTTCTGGTATTATAATTCCTTTACGGCAAAAGCTGTGCCCTTTTTCTTAAATATTTTAGCTAGTTACAAAACTTCAAGCACAACTGGATTAATGGTCCCAATTTTGTACTTTTCTGTTGAGGTCATTAAGTGTATTTTAGTTCTATCCCTCGATAGAATTTTGGACTCATTACCATGATCCCTTTGTTATTCACTGTTAAGGTCATAGCTTCCCGTTTTCTAGCTCCTTGATACAAGAACTGTCACTTTGCATAATATGATTTGTCTGCCAAGTGTCAAAAAATTATCAGATTAGATATATCATTTCCTTTAAAAGGTTTGAGATCAGTGACATGTTTGAAAGAACAAGGAAACGTGTGATCTTTCCTCATATATCTTAGTATGGAAGGGGAAGAATTAATTATATTATTTCCTGCCTGTGTGCCATCTGTAGGCTGCGTTTTCAACATGTTTTCCTTTTCAGAGTTTGTCTTCCTTTGTCCTGTAGTGCCTGGGACAAGTTCTTGTTGACAGATGCTTTGTCAATTACTGTTTGGTTCTAGTGTTCTTATGAATGATCTTTTGATGTGTTGGAGTGTGAATTCTGTTTCAGATTGATTACTAGTTTCTAGTTGCCTCTTGGGCATTGGTATAGTGGTTTTTAAAGCTCCTCTATCATTTTTGAGATTTGGAATGGGAAATTACTGTTTCCTCTACTCGATGTTTCCCGAGTGTTGGCATTTATTCTATAGGTTTTTACCAGTTCACTATTGACAGTTGTTTTGGCCAGACTGAACCAAATTAAATCAGAGCGATATGGGGAAGCAATGGTGTAGTGTATTCAACCAACGGACTTTTGGTCCAATGGTACTCCTTACCTTGTGAAGACTTTGTTTTCTTGAGATCAAAGGTTCAAGTCCCCCTCTCCTTCCCCCCCCCCCCCCCCCAAAAAAAAAAATGGTGTAGTGTATTCAGGTTTTTAGTCCCGGGTTTGCATTCGTTGTGGGTAACAACAATTGAAAGATCATGGCACTCAAATGCAGACTGAGATACTTGCTGTAGTTGGCACTCATTTGCATGTTGGGATATTGTTCTTTCTACTAACTTCGAGTGTTATGCTTTTGTAATGGCTGATCATGTTGCTATGGTATTGGCTGGACTTGTAACATGCCTGTGCATTTGCTTGGCATTGTGTAGGTGGTGCTGTTCCAGCAGTCGCTCAACTTGCATCATCATCTTATCATGCAGTGGTCTCATCTTCATCATTGCCACCTCCATCCTCTCGGGATGACAAGGTAGGCAAATCCACAGCGTCCTCCACTCTATAATTGTGTGGAGGGGGGGAGAGAGAGAGAGAAACAGTGCTTTGTTGTGCCTACTAGAATCCAGGCCATTAGCCTTAATTGCTGGCCGTAAATGGCTCCCAGAAGATATATTAGTAACGCATGACCAAGTTGACGACTACCGCTTCAGTTAGGTGGGCTGCACAGATATAACGTTTTGTACATGCAGAGTAAATTTCACTTGGGCATGCTCAGAAACTACAATATATGATTGTTGTTCGATCGATAATTATTCTTTTCAAAAGCAGAAAGTTTAAGCTGTGTAGGTATTATGATATGAATTTTTTGTAAATTGGAACAACAATTATGCTGCGGCAATGGTGCTTTAGATACTGACCATATCTTGCTTGCACTACTCCTCGTCCGATGCATTGACATTTATATTTCAGACAGATTATCAATAAGCAAGAACAATACTGGGCAAATTGTCTCTTCGAGACTGCTTAATTAAAGCAGGTGAATTTTGCAGTTTGTTTTCAACACCTTCAAGCTCATGACATAATCAAGAGGAGAACCAGAGTACCATGGTAGAACTGGTTCTGACCAGTTCTTCAATATTGTTGGACTTCTGCTTGTAATTTTCTTTTAGAAAAACTTTGGTGGATACATTTTGATGCCTTCTTTTTTTCTTTACGATAGTTATTTTGCATCATTACGAGTCTCATTAGTTCGAAATAAGCAAACTTAACGAAATTGTTGATGCATCATCCTTGCTCTTCTTTTGTATGTGCTTCATAATGCTTGGTTGTATAAGTTGCATCCCTTATGTGTTGGGCTGATAATCAAGCCAGAGTTTTGAGTCAGAGTCGAGCTTGTTTTTAACGAGTTTAATAAATTATTTAATTTTGGCTTGCTTAGAAAATGAGTCGAGCCTGATTAACTTGATAATTTTTCATATAAATAAGTCAAGTTTTGTAAGTCTAAGTTAGGTCTTTTATATTTGTTTTTTAAATAAACTTAAAAAATTGTCCAAACTTGGTTTGTTTAGTATACGAGTTGAGCTTGAGTCGAATCTTATCTGAGCTGAGATGAGTCAAATCCAAGCTGAATCAAAGTAGCTTAGCTCAATTATCATACTTATTTATATGCTCTTCACAACACACGCGCAAGTGTGCAGAAAAAAAAAAAAAGATGTACTTAGCCTTTATTTGGCACTCTGACAATCATGCCATTGTTTATGCGACATTTTCCATTACGTTGCTAGCAGGAAAAGATTTTCTTTAAACAAGTTTTTGAGCAGGAAAAAAAAAGCAAAAAGAAAAATGAAGGAGGATTTGGAATCATGTCATTCGGAAGATACTCTGTGCAAAACATTGTTGTAATCTATAAATAATGTCATACAATGTTTTATGTTCCATATACAACTGTTGTTTCTTTTTAAGCAAGTGATGGTTAAGAGTTATTCGAACCACTTGTAGAATATAACGAGAGTATAAAAGAATAGGGACTGAAGATGCATAAATATCAAACACTCCTCAACATCCAATGAGTAAATTAGGAGAATCTAGTGTTTCTCGATACATATGACTCATGGGTGATCGTCTGCATCCAGAGCTATCATTGTAGCATGAGTTTATAGAGCAAGTGATTGAAAGAGCTTTGAAAGAAAAAACGGATGCCAATATTCTTTGGGCTACTACAAGGTTCAAGAATTATGTGCACAACTGCTTTTATTGCTTCTATATTTGGGTTCTCAATATGTTTATTATACAAGGCGTACTTGGCAAAACCCAGCGAAAAAACAGAGGCGTACTTGGCGATCATGCCCTCGAAACAAAATTTTGGGAGCTTAGCCATTCGAAAGCTATTCAAACTCATGTGTCTTTGAATAAATTTACAGGTTCATGTAAAACAAGGGCTAGATGTCTAATTTTAATTCTTCAGTTTATTGATTTGGGAACAATTTCGTAACAAAAAAAAAAAAATCTTTCAAAACAATTTGAGAAATAGTTATCAAACGACATTTTTCTTTCCATAAAATATTGTCGTTTAGTTGGGCCAACCCAACTGACCTAAAAAAAGAATAGTTAAGTAGGCTAGGGTCCCTCATTTGAGAAATAGTTATCAAACGACATTTTTCTTTCCATAAATATTGTCGTTTAGTTAGGCCACCCAACTGACCTAAAAAAAGAATAGTTAAGTAGGCTAGGGTCCCTCATTTGAGAAATAGTTATCAAACGACATTTTTCTTTCCATAAAATATTGTCGTTTAGTTGGGCCAACCCAACTGACCTTAAAAAAGAATAGTTAAGTAGGCTAGGGTCCATATTTTGAAAAAACTTACATGTAGTCTCTATGTTGATGCGAATAGTAAGGGGTAGGGCAGTTACTGTATTTTCATTTCCCATTTTTTCCTCATCATATAATTTTCAACTAACGATCTATGTTCATTCTGACAAAATTGGAATCAAGCTTGTTCATATTTTTCTTCGAAATTGTTGAATATGCGTGCTTCTTGAGATACTCTATGATCTAAATCAAAGTTGTGTTGTCCACGTTGGGTTGTGGAATCATGTTCGAAGTGCAGTCATCTTCGATCATGTTCGTCGAACAATCTAATGTTGTAAATGATTTCACTGCCGAGAAAAAGGCCAAATTATGAAATGAGTACAAATGGGGGTTTTGAAGGAGTAAAGAAAGATTGATTTGCTTTAATGAGCTCGGTTTAATGTTTGAATATAGTGGAGTATATTTTTATGGGTTTTTGACCGATTGTTATGATTTTTTGAGCCCTTGAATTTGAAGGTTTTTTGATAATTAGTTGGTTAACCTTTAGGGTTTCTATTTGATAATCTGTGTGTTTTTATATACCTGTATGACGATCTATATTTTAGCGTACCTTTCTAACAAATCTGTATTTTAGTGTATCTGTCTGATGAAATGTGTTTTAGCGCACCTGTCTAACGACATTTGTTTTA